TCCACTCACAGGGTTAGCCCAGCCCAGCTGCACAATAGAGAACAACTATACATCACTAGGAAACAATGTAGCAACTCCATTATACTATCCAGTAGGGTTTCTACAATGGCATGAATACTCACAAAAAAATATTGCAAAATCAATACATATTGTCCTAACAGGCCAAAAAAGGGATTTAGAGGACATTCTCGGCTAAAGAAGGTGTTGCTTCAAAAGCCTGTCTGTGCTCATTCCTAATTTTTACACTCAGGGGTCAGCACATATGTAGAAAGATGAGTTCTTATCTTCATGTGTGGATCAAAGTGAAATGCTCACTGAAAGATCCTTTATGAAAATTAGTGGATTGTTATCAAATATATTTGTGATTTTAAGGGTTGCAATAGCTTAGACTCTTAATCTCTGTCATAAGACCAGCTTATATCAACGATCTCTTGCTTGGATTTGAAGATGTTAAGCCTGGATTGTCCAACATGACAGTCACCAGCCATATAGGACTATGGGGCGCATGCAATGTGGCTAGCGACATGTAGTGGTATGCTCTTTTTAATATATTGGGCTAATAGAAATATATTGTTTTAAACATTTTTTTAAAAAAGCTTTGTGTGCAAGTCAGATGTTTGAAAACACATTTCCCATAGATGCAGTGTCATCTAGGCTGGTTATACGCCCAGTCCTCACAAATTTAAACCAGGGTGCACAGTCTTGCAGTGCTATTATTTAATAGCTGTCATTCATAGCATTGGCTCTTTGGGACACTGAATTCTGAGTTTTAACTTGGGATGTCCAAATTGGAATTCCTTTGCCCCTCTCCAGATAGGGAGCAGTTATGGGCAAGGGCTGGGATTAAAACGCAGGGAAAGAAAGAGAACAGAACTGTTAGCAGCATAGGCCAACTTGCTAACTACATGTATCTACATAAAAGACCTTACTTTAGGGGGCCGGTCGCAGTGGTACACACCTGTAATCCCAGCATTTTGGGAAGCCAAGAAGAAAGGATTGCCTGAGCCCAGAAGTTTGAAACAAGCCTGGGCAACGTGGCAAGACCTCATTTCTAAAAAAGAGAAGAAAGATCTTACTTTAGGTCAATCTCCCTTTCTTTTTTTCTTTCTTTTCTTGAGTTGGAGTCTCACGCCATCACCCAGGCTAGAGTGCAGGGGCACTCTCACGGCCACCCCAGCGCCGACCTGTTGGGCTCTGGTGATCCTTTCACCTCAGCCTTCCAAGTAGCCGGAACAACTACCACTTGCTACCACACTCAGCTACTTTTTGATGTATTGTAGAGACGAGGTCTCGCCAAGTTGCCCGGGCTGGTCTCGAACACACGGTCTCAGGCAATCCTCTTGCCTCCGCCTCCCTAAGTGCTGGGATGACAGGCTGAGCCACGGAGCCCGGCCCCAATCTCCCTTTCACTGTTCTGAAGTGGGACCAAAAACAACATTTATTTAATAAGCACCCAAGAGGTGAAAAGCCCAAATGGTTAAAAAGATGGAACAGGCCATTGTTGACCTGCAAGAGTTGTGGTGAGAAAGTGCTTCACTAGCAGCTGAAAGGAAGGTGTGAACAGGGGGTTACAGGAGCCCAGAGGGGAGCGAGACCCAGCCTGGGAGGCCTGACAAAGGCTTCCTAGAAGAGGCAACACTTGAGCTCAACCTTAATGACGTGGGGTTCCACCCCCTGAGACTCTCTACTTCACCACTGTCCCTACACAGGTTTAGGCATAAGCAAAATATTTCATAAAACCACCAGGGTGCTCAGAGATCCCAGGGCTCCGCCCCTGGCAACTGACTCACTAGCTCTGGGAAAGGGCCTGAAAATCTGAAACTTTTTCAAGTGTCTCCAGTGTTTCTGATGTTCTGAGTTTGGTAAGTAGTAATGAACTAAGCATCCAGCACTATTGGGGATAAAACTCCTAAATCACATCATCTTACGTCTTCACTTTTTTTTTTAATTTTAAAAGGGGGAATCAGGATAGATGATAACTGATAACTAAGGTCCTTATGTAGGTCACAGATCAAGGTTTTCCAATTCCTTGATTACTGACATTATCAGGCAAGTGTAAACTGTATGTACACAGTAAGGATCCAACAAATGTTTAGTGAGAAGGAACAAAAGTCATATTAGCTGTAGGGGGAGACTTAAGGTTTCACCAAGAACACTCAGACACACGTAGGACAACTCGATTATATTAAAACATTAAGATTTACCGTGTTTTCCAGTATGATGTATACTTCAAAGTTCATTCTCTGAAAATATTTTTGTTTTCATTAGAATATGTAAACAAAGTGTATTTCTAAAAGTCAAAAGAAGTTGAGATTTGGATGATTTCCCAGGGTTCAAAAAATGCTGCCTCCTTTTTCTAAAATCCGTATATGAGAGGGAGCCCCCCAAAATGGAAGTGATTTATACAAAATTGTGTATTTATTCTTACAAGTTTAAACTTCAGTCACCTTCAAACTCTTCGTTTGACACAACACACGTGTTGAGACACTTTTTCTACTGCTCAAAGTCTTTGAACTCGTCAATTTTGATGCCTTTGAGTGTTTCTGCCGTTTTCTGTTTCACCTCTTCCACATTGGCAGAAGGTTTCCCTTTGAGAATTTTTTTCATCCAGGGAAACAACAACAAAAAAAGCTGCTTGGGGCGAGATCAGGTGAATAGGGAGGGTGGAACACAAGGGTCATGCTGTTTTTTTGGTCAAAAACTGCTGAACACTCAGTGCAGTGGGGGCAGGTTGTTGACACAAATCACCCATCATGAAATGGGCAAACACGGTGAAAGACTCTCTTAAAAAAAATTCACTGAAGCCGAACTCAGCATCTCACAACAATAGCTGGTACGCTGATGCCGAGGTGTTCCTAGAACGCTTACCTAGTGGGGAAAGCCTGTACCACAAGGGACCTGCCCTCCAAAAAATAATTCGTTTTTGGGAGTCCCTCCTCGTATGTATGCTATATACCCAAACATGTAACCAAAAACCCCAGCAGCTAAACAACCATCTTACAGGGGTAGGATCAGCCATCATAGTTTTGACTGTGGCTGTCACTGGTGTGAATAAAATGAAACAATGAGCAAAACAGCACAAATAAAAGAGCAATAATGAAGAATCAGTGTGCTGTTCAAACCAAAAGGCTTCCCAAAGTAGCCAAACTTTTTTTTTTTGAGTCAGAGTCTTACTCTGTCGCCTAAGCTGGAGTGCAGTGGCATGCTCACGGTCACCAGAGCCTCCACCTGCTGGGCTCAGGCAATCCTTCTGCCTCAACCTTCCAAGTAGCCAGAACTACAGGCGTGCGCTACCACACCTGGCTAATTTTTTTATTTATTGTAGAGACAAGGTCTTGCCAAGTTGCTTGAACCCGGGGACTCAGGCAATCCTCTCACCTCGGCCTCCCAAAGTGCTGGGATTATAGGCTTGAGCCATCGTGTCTGGGCCGTAGCCAAACATTTTAACATCACATTTCTCATTCCCTGGCAGTTACTAAAGGTAAAGGTAAGGACAGAAAAACAAACATCCCTTGAAAAGGCAGTTTTAAGTGGTTACAAAGGATGAGAGTTTATTTCACTCAAAAAAATAAAAAAATTCAGTGTAATAATTCAAAATTGGAAACGGTTTAGCCCTGCAAATGATCTGTGAGCTTGCTGGAATTCCCCTTCAATCACAGCATAGCGCAGCATAGTTTGCCTCACTTTACAGAAGACATGACCCTGAAAAGTTGAATATGAGGAAATCTTTCTTTGAAAAGAAATATAGACTATATTAAGTTATTTAAAATCCACAAGGGGACCAGGCATGTGGGCTCGTGCCTGTTACTCCATCACTTTGGAAAGCCAAGGCAAGAGGATCACTTGAACCCAGGAGTTCAAGACCAGCCTGGGCAACATAACAAAACCTCATCTCTACCTATAGGCATGTACCTATAGTGCCAGCTACTCAGGAGGCTGAGGCAGGAAGACCACCTGAGCCCAGGAGATGGAGGCTGTGGTGAGCTGTTATGCTACTGCACTTTGGCCTGGGTGACAAGATTGAGATCCCCAACTCAAAAAGTAAAAATTATATTAAATTAAAAATGCATAAGAGGAACTGGTTAATCAAAGAAACCGCACAATGAATGTATGTCCATGAATTCAAAGTATTTTAATAATATGAACATTTGCCCTTCATTGTTTTTTGATAATTTTACCAAAAAATTTACATAGAGTTTTCTTCAAGTAGCATTTTGTTGGTCAATACTATACCGATGCTACATATTAACACTTCGTTTTGAAATATTATAAAAGTCTCATAGCATTACAAATATTTGGTAAGAAGCAGCATAATATCTTTTAACAACTGGAGGCTCCCAGAGTTCCTGTGTACTCTTCTCTGAGAAATCATTAATTGGGGGTTTCATTCTAATGGTAATCTTTTTTTTTTTTTTTTACCAATTATAGAAATAATGCTTTCTCCTTACTGTGATAATTTACAGTAAGACGTAGTTCCCCGAATGGATGCTTAATAAAATGATATCAGTAAGAATATTCTGGGGGGGGTGATGGGAATATCTTAGAAAGAATGGCACCCACGTATTCACTCAGGTCTCAGATGCCTTGGAAAGTGTGGTCTGGGACTGGAAATGTGGCGAGGGGTTCAGTGTGATAGTCTATGGGAGCAGAGACAGTTTGCTCTGGGACCTGGAGTGGGTACATGGAAGAGAAACATTTAAAGAAACAGACACATGATTGGAGGGAGGGTTCCCAAGTTATCTGCACCCCAGTTTACGCTTCTATAATCCTCACACTGTGTCTCAGGACTTCTCAAGGGCTGCCCCACCCACTTTCCCACCATATTGCCATCAGTGACCAGGCTTCATCTGTGCCCAAAGGTCGCAGGGCCTGCAGACAGTGACTGCTTCGCAGGATGAAAAGCCAAAGCCTCCAACCCAGAAAGCCCCCCTCCTGACACTGAGCCCAGCCTGGACAACCTGCCCTCAGGTCTTATCCTGAAGCTGGCTCGCTCCCGGATCCCTCTGAGACCCCAGAATGGGGCCTGCACCCTGTCTTTCTGACTCTGAGAGATATGGGTCCTCAGACACACAGAAACACAACCTCAGCCTTGGCTTCTGCTCTGTTTTGGCATTTCAACTTCTGAGGCCTTGCTTAGCATGCCTTTCTAAAATGTAACCACTGGCTCCAATCCGACGCCACAGAGTGTCCACTCTGAGTCTGGTGTCTCCCCCAAGTTGTCCCCACAGCCGACGGTGGGCTCTGCTTCGTCCCAGTGGGGTCTCCTCCAGCTACAAGGCCACAGAGTGGGTCTCTGGAAGGTTCTCCTCGAGCTTCAGGCCCAGGTTGTCAATCCCGATGCTGGTGACAGGCACGCTGCTTCCAGTTGGCTCCACTGTGCGCGTCGGAGTGGAGCAGTAGAGGCTGAACCCCACCATGATGACGGTGAAGGACAGGATGTAGAGCCCCGAAAACTAGAAGGGAAGAACAGGCCATGGATGGCAACCCCGCACACACACATCTTTGCTGCTGGCTTTTGCCCACGATGCCTCAGTTTTTTCCTGAAAGGTGCCTAAGGAAATGCCAATGCCCAAAGCCCTCCCGGGGTTACTGGTGAATGTAGACTCTGTGCAGACTCTGGCAACAGCACGTGACAGATCCATCACCTTGGTCCTTGGATTTTTAATTTTTTTTTTATTTTTTTGAGTCGCAGTCTCACTCTGTCACCTAGGGTGGAGTGCAGTGGCACTCTCATGGCCACCGCAGCCTAGACCTGCTGGGCTCAGGTGATCCTTCCGTCTCAGCCTTTCAAGTAGCTGGAACCATAGGCACGTGCTACCAAGCCTGGCTAATTTTTGATTTATTGTAGAGACGAGGTCTTGCCAAGTTGCCCAGGCTGGTTTCGAACCCTTGGACTCAGGCAATCCTCTCACCTCCACCTCCCAAAGTGCTGGGATTACAGGTGTAAGCTATCACACCCAGTGGATCTTTTTTATTTTATGTGTCAGGGCCTCACTCTGTCACCCAGGCTGGAGTGCAGTGGCTCAATCACGGCACACCACATCCTCAACCTCCTGGGTTCAGGTGATTCTCCAGTCTCAGCCTCCTGAGTTGCTGGGAATACAGACATACACCACCACGGCTAATTTTTTGAGTTTTTTTGTAGAGACGAGGTCTCAATATGTTGCCCAGGCTGGTCTCAAATTCTTGGGCTCATCTTGGCCACCCAAAGTGCTGGGATTGCAGGTATGAGTCATTGAGTCCAGGCTATTCTTGGATCTTTAAGGGGAAATGGAACTTTTGCCTTCCTCTGTGATAATCCAGCTGCATCCCTTCCTGCAAATAAACCCACTGAGTGGAGAAAATAAAATATGATAAAAGGTGAGCATGGATACCATAAGACAGCCCAATTCTGGCCCTAGACACAGCTTGCATTGGTATGAAACAGAGGAACACAGGACCACAATGAAATGTGGATGTAGCAGGGCTCGGTGGCTAAGCCTGTAATCCCGCGCCTTTGGGAGGCTGAGGTGAGTGGATTGCCTGAGCCCACGGGTTCGAGACCCACCTGGGCAGCGAGACCTCATCTCTACAGCAAATCAAAAAATCAGCCGGGCATGGTAGCGCATGCTTGTAATTCTGGCTACTTGGAAGGCTGAGGCAGAAGGATCGCCGGAGCCCAGCAGGTCGAGGCTGTGGTGGCCGGGAGCGGCCACTGCACTCCAGTCTGGGTGACAGAGTGAGACTCCAACTAAAAAAAAAAAAAAAAAAAAAAAGAAATGTGGATATACAGATGCAATGTCTGCTCAGAAGCCTCTGGAGAATGGGTGCTATTCCAGTGAAATTCATTGTGTTAAAATGTGATAAATGGCCAGTCTCGGTGGCTCAGCCTGTAATCCCATGCTTTGGGAGGCCGAGGTGAGTGGATTGCCTGAACCCACGGGTTCGAGACCCACCTGGGCAACTTGGCGAGACTTCATCTGTACAATAAATCAAAAAATTAGCTGGGCGTGGTAGCATGCCTGCAGTTCCAGCTACTTGGAAGGTTGAGGCAGAAGGATCGCTAGAGCCCAGCAGGTCGAGGCTGCAGTGGCCGGGAGCAGCCACCGCACTCCAGTCTGGGTGACAGAGTGAGACTCCAACTCAAAAAACAAAAAACAAAAAAACAAAACAAAACCAAAAAAAGTGATAAATGATCTTGTCTCTGTAAGCAAGTGTTACATAGCAAAATCTATGGTGGACTGAGCAGATTCCGATTTTTAGAGCTTGAAACAGCCTAAGACAGTATTTATTTGATGAGCCTGAATCCCAGAGAGGTGAATAGTGTGAGGTCCATTGAGGGCAAGCCCAGGGAACAGAGCTTGCAGGAGGCATCTCTCAGAAGGACCAAATACAGCAGGAGCCTACTGAGACAGACACACCAGAAGGAGGAAGGGAGTTTGGGTGACTCTCCTCAACCTGCCTCTTTTGAAGACCAAAAACAACCACTCAGAGCAAAATGCAATGGGGAGAGAACACTAAATCACAGGGTACGTGTACTGAAAATGACATTCTGACATACCCTGAAAGTTACATTGTAGTATTTTGTATATCTGCTCTTATTTCAGTTGAGAATCCGTACAAAAGTCCACGTAAAAGACATAAATCTGTGTATTTTGGACCCATGCAGGAAGTTTCCTGCAGCTACTGTATTCAGCAAGTGTTACTCAAGATCAGTGCCAGAAAAGGCAGAGTGCTTAAGGTCTGACATAGATGAGTGTAAAAAAAAAAATTGAAGCCGGGCTCGGTGGCTCAGCCTGTAATCCCGCGCCTTGGGAGGCCAAGGTGAGTGGATTGCCTGAGCCCGCGGTTTCAAGACCCGCCTGGGCAACTTCATGAGACCTCATCTCTACAATTAATCAAAAGCTAGCCAGGTGTGGCAGCTTGCACCTGTAGTTCCAGCTACTTAGAAGGCGGAAGAGGCGGAAGGATCGCTGGAGCCCAGCAGGTCGAGGCTGCGGGGGCTGGGAGCGGCCACTGTACTCCAGTCTGGGCGACAGAGTGAGACTGCAACTCAAAAAAAAAAATTTGAAATCTCCTTTTCAACCATCTGCTTCGAAAAAAATCAGAGCCAAAGTTGTTTTAGATACTACGATTTTTTAAATTGGCAGTAGATTTAGCTTACAATTCTGTCTTTAAAAACTTATTCAGAAATTCTAGCCATCTTAATTATGCTCTGAATTTTTTCTACCTCTGCAATTTACTCTGAAGAGCCCAACAAACCTACTCTTTGCTCTGTAAGTCTTGAAACAACCTTTGACCAAAAACAAAATCTGATGAGTTTAGAGGCTAGACATGCAGAGACAAAGGAACAAAAGAACCGGAAAGGAACTCACAGGCTGCATGAGCTGATTCTGAGACTAGTAGTTTAAAGTTATGTGGCCAAAAAATGACACATGAAAGCTCTTTTTCATTTTAAAGGTAAGAGCTGTTGAAGTCATACATAGCTACCAACTGGCCTAGAACAGCTGCATAGACACACCATCACCCCTAGTGGTGGTCAGGTGAAATGCAGCCTCAGCATTACAGAAAAACTCACTACCTTCCGGCCGACATTGTGATCCTTGATAATTTGGTTCTCACAGAAAAAAAAATCTGGGCCCATCAGGATCATTTCTCTGATTCACTCTGACTTTTTAATGATATTGCCAATAAGCTATAAATACTCCTTCAGTCTTAAGTCAAGAATACCTTAACCAGCAAGTTTACAAGTCTACAAACATAACAGCTGATTCCTGTCACACGTAACCTTGCAAGACAAAAACGTTTACTAAATCAGAAACATCCGAGAACCCACTGAGCTTTGTGTATCAATAATTCAGCTGAGTGCTGTGAGTTCTGATTCCTGGGAAGAGTGGAAATCAGCATGAAGGATTTCTATCAGGATACAAAATTTTACAAGGACAAAGACATAAGGTTGATAGCCTCTACAGAAACTAAAATTGTCAGGTAACAGACAACAGCCTCACTATTTGCTCAAATGACCATCAGGAAAGACAACAAGTAGATCAACAAGTCTTTACAGGTATACTGAGAAAAGATAGATTTCTTTTTTTTTTTTTTTTTTTTG